GTGGGATGGTGCAGTCGTCAACCACATGCGACTATAATCAGCTGTTCTAAACTTCCTCATTGGAAGTCACGAAAAAAAAAAGCGGTGGGTTTTTCGAGAAGTTGTTGATTGTGTAATTGCCGGAGAGTTCTTCGTCTTTTTGTAAGTGTTATTGAAGCGTTTGGCCTAGTAGATTGTATATCAGTATACCCTTCCAGGCTCTGAAGAAGGCGATACTGCCGAAACGTCAGCTAGCGTTGTATTGTATTGTGTTTTCTTTATGGAAGTAAATGTATGCTGTTTAAAAACCTCGCGATTGCTGAGCAAGAAAACGACACATTAATATTCTCAGCTTCATCTTTTCGGCAATCTACAATACGAGGCTCACCTGCGAACGCTGTTCTTGCGCTTGAAGAAGGGCGACGGTAGTGTTACGAAAAGCACCGAATCCGGTCATTCCCGCTTGCGAGGCTCCTGAATGCTTAGCAGTACACCCCAAAACCAGTGTTATTAGACTTATCCAGAGTGCACTTTTGATCTACAACTCGATTTCTCAATTGTTTGATTGTAGATGTTTCCGGTGAAGAGTTAAACCCGTCGTCGCATAAGATTCCGTGCAGTGATCCAATTCGATCAAAGACATAATTCGATCAAAGTTTTGGAAATTTGTACATTCTTCCATGAACAAATTTCTTGCGGTTGATAGTTTTCTGGCATGACCGCAGCGCAAGATTGATCGGAAAATAATATAAAACCAAATACCACTGATACCAGCTTCTAGCTGAAATAAGCGTTAAATTTCGAGGAGGAAAGAACCATACCTTCTCTCCATCCAGATGTTTGTCTAGATGTTGTGCCTTCATCGTGTGGCATTTCTCCTCGAACCTCATCTTTATATCTGAAGTTCTAATATTTGCTAAGAAATTGCAGCATTTATAGAAAAAAGCACTTACTTGGTGATATTATGACGGGGCATTCCGAAACCTGTCATACCGGATTGGTTGGCAAAGCGATTGGTACCCATCTGTAGATGGATGAAGCCTTGTGACTCCCGATCTTGTTCCTCGGCTTTGCGAACTTAATCGACATATTTCCGAATACCGTTTCTTAACTAATTTTGACATTTATCAACGAGTTAGTATTCTTAATGAACTGACACGAGGTTATTTTGGGTGATTTAATGGGCCCAGCATTTAAGAGGATTTTTCCTTAGGTAAAAGCTAATCATATTGGTATGATATGTAGTCAGTGACACACTTCAATAACCATCATGAAGAACTTAACGCAGAGATCTTAGTCAAAGTAATCAGCTTTACCCAATGCAAACACTCAGGGGTGGCTAGCGCAGGGGTAGTGGTGTCGACCATCATGAGCGCGGTGCTGGCCCGACTCCGCACTATGCTCATCAAGCAAACCCCCTCCCTCATTCCTCTGAGTTCGGGATATTGGTATCAGACTTTCTGAGAAAAGTTAACTGTATAATCCAATTGGGAACACTCTGGCGTGGTTTTGCTAGGATCACAAAGAGAACCAACTTGACCAGCATTCAACGACATTCATGATGAAATAAAAATCCTCAAGCAGTAGCCGAAGCCACACGTAAAAAGTTGCAAGAGCTCCGTGGATGGTGGATGCGAGGAGATAAATCGAATGTGAGAAGTGCTGGAATCCGCGAGACGTGTGAAAACGAGATAACTTCTCTATCACCATAATGCACCGATTCATTAATATACTGAGCAGTAGAGCACAGCTCTAATATTAAAATGAAGCTACATCCAGGATTTGATGTACATTTCCAGCCTTCCATAGTCAATAATAAGCATCTTGCAAACTTGTAATTCGGGAATAGTTCTCTTTTAGTCACTTCACAACCATTACAGAAAATATTCTCCAAGAATGTTCTCCTTCTTACAGTCTCATCATGTATTTTTTATGCTTAGTGTGTATTGCCTCTAATCATATTTCTTACGATGTGTTGTATTAAGGAATTCACTTCTTCCACAAGTCCTCAGTGGCTACTAACCGGCTTCGTCAAGTACTTCGCATTTTCGAATCACGACGCTGGATTAGAGCACTCCACCAACTTGTATGGTTACTACTTGTACTCCACCGTCATTAGCTCTTCTTCTTTACCGTTGCACTTTGTGTGTGTATGTAGTGATCCCCAGCCAAGTTTAGATACAAAAGTGGGATATAATCCAGCCATTCACAAAGCACATTAATGTCGGCAAGCAACTGGTTCGTGGTGCATGCTAATATCTTATCTAACTTGTTCCCTCATATTCATACTTGACGACGTGTGATATCATTAATTCTTGTCATATCACTTCACCACTATTACAGAGCATTATTGCCAGTGGCTCTTTGTTGCTTTCCATATTGTTTCTTCTTACGAATCACTCACTGTTTGTACTTTTTGCACTTAAAGTCTTATTATTGACATTTCGTCATGTTTAATTATTGTTATATATAGGGAGGTAAGACGCAGTGGTCGGAGGCATCGTGCAACACACAAGTGGAATTAATCGACGCTCCATAGCCCACCAAGCCTTCCATCTCTACGGGATCGGCAAATTGCACTAGACTTGTCTGGGAGGATAGCAGTACTGGTTCAATGCATCGGGGGCCACCGCAAGTCATTGTAAAGGCCAGATATGCATTCAACCACCTCCAAACGATGCTTAATGAAGTCGAATGCAAGGCGCATCCCTCAGGGATTGATCAGCGCGGAGAGCATATTTATCCCTTATAAGCAGATCCGTTATTATCCAATCAGTTATTCAAGTTTGAGATCAGGCGATACAATAAACTGAAAAGTCCAGTGTGGCAGAATTCTAAGCACAAAAATTGGCTATTTCCCTTTGATCATACTTCAAGTTCTTCTTAAAACATTGAAACGTAGTGCTGCTTTTATTTATTACAACAGAAATGAAGAGTTTGTGTAATGACCTTGGTTTAAACTGTTTTCTAAAAAATTTCGGGAAACACAAAAATAAACGTACCATCAACAATGCGTGGCATTCCAATTCCTGTCATGCCAGCTTGTGAGGCAAGCTTGTTGGTTCCGGATTGCAAAGGAACAATGCCGTCTGAAGCACGAGCCTAAATTGCTCTAAGTGATTCGCATCGCAGAATATTTTACAGGAAACTATAAACAAGGGTCATAATATCTGATCTTAGCAATGTTATCAAGAGCTTATGAAGTGAACTTCCAAAAAGGCAAGTAAAAAATTTGAAATCCTTCAAATAAAAAGTGGTTAATGACCATAAATAATCAACCACTTCTGGGCTTTTATAAAGTAGTTAGTGACCACAAAGGTATAGCACACCTTTTCCTCAGGCACTTCACTTGCTCCACCAGTCCCTTTTGTCTTGTAGTTCACATCACGAGGAGATCCAAAGCCTACAGTTATATTGTTCGCAGATAAATGCACTCATAACTATTCTTAAATTGTTCGCTGTCTAGTTTAACATCAAATGATGGTGAAGTATGGGCAACTTCTCCGTGTTCAGAGGACAGGTCATTTGCGCTTACCAGTTTGTCCTTTTTGTGATGCGAACTTGTTGGTACCGGATTGAAGCCATGTAGACGCTTTAAGCGCCTCAATCTTTTTCTCATCAGTGATCTCCGGCAGATTGTCGGACTTCACTTTATCGATGACGTCGCGAGGTACTCCGAATCCTAAAAGCACTCAAGCCGCTTCAAAAAAGAATGTTTTCAAAGCGGAGGCCTGTAAACCACTATACCGCCGCAGTTTTATGGCGCTTTTAAAGTGGTTCTACCTTTGATAATCAGATTACAGTAGTAGTCCTTAAAAAAAAGCTTACAGAAATCTTTGTTAATATACGGGTATATTCTCTGATCACACCTAAGCACACAACTACCAAAGTCGATTGAACTGCGTCGAAAATGGGCCTTTAGAAGTGTAATGAATTCTGAGTGAGTTTTCCATGAACACATTTTAACGTTGGTTAACTAGCCGTAGTAATCGCTGCCATACTTAAAGAATCTGCTGAGTGCCTGTGGTAGTGAACTGAAAGCACTGTGAAATAATTACTTTAACATTTCAGAGAACTACTCCCATCGAAGATTTAATGGTTAGAAGAAACAGGTCGCCACACAGCAGCCGAACCCATGACCACACCAAATATGGAATGAATGACATCTTCAGGGCTGCAAAATCGAATGGAAGAAGTTTTGAGGCGCGCATTGTATACGATGCGTCTATATCTAAATATTATCTAACTGTTTAAATGAGTTTGTGCTGTCCCATATTTCAAAAAATGGAGCTTGGTTTTCGCAATCATAGTGTCAAGCTGTTGTTTTCTTTGCAAAAAAAATTCGCCCCATTCCAAACAGTAGGAATAATGAGTGAAAAACTCATGTATTGGTACCGTTACAGTTACTTTTGTAACATTTCTAAGTGTGGCGCAGTGGTTGGAGGCGTCCTGCAACATACGTGGGATCGATCCTCGCGCACATGGATCAACAAGCCTTCCATCCCTTCGAGGTCGGCAAATTGGTACTAGGATTCTTTGGAAGGATAGCAGCACTGGCTCGATATATCAGTAAGACACCGCGAGTCATTGCAAAGGCCAGATATGCATTCAATCATCTCCAACGTTGCTTAATGAAGTTGAATGCATGACGCATCCCTCAGGGTTGATCAACGCCGAGAGCTTTATCCTTTACTTTTTCTATGCCTGACTATGTGCAAACTCTGCATAACTTTAAAACTTTTTTCTATAACTAAAAAGTTTTCTACACTAAAGCCACTTAGCAAACTTCTCTAAGGAATGAATAGCAGGGACGAATGCCCGAAGGTCATACGCGACCTGATCCCGTACGTTCGCATCGATTTTTGATGTGGGATGGTGCAGTCGTCAACCACATGCGACTATAATCAGCTGTTCTAAACTTCCTCATTGGAAGTCACGAAAAAGCGGTGGGTTTTTCGAGAAGTTGTTGATCGTGTAATTACCAAAGAGTCTTTCGTCTTTGTGTAAGTGTTATTGAAGCGTTTGGCCTAGTAGATTGTATATCAGTATATCCTTCCAGGCTCTGAAGAAGGCGATACTGCCGAAACGTCAGCTAGCGTTGTATTGTATTGTGTTTTTATGGAAGTAAATGTATGCTGTTTAAAAACCTCGCGATTGCTGAACAAGAAAACGACACATTCATATTCCAATGCCGAGGTTAAGAGAAAGTCGATCCTGGGATCTCTAAGGAATGTTCTTCATAGGCAGTAAGCCTGATGAGCACGCCTCAATATCAAGCATTGTGTTATCAAATTGCGCTCTGCTGTTGGCGGCGAAAGAAGACTTCTGTCGCACATTTGACGCTCAGATTACAACGAAACGTTCGAAAGACCCTGCATTTGTGCTATTTTTGATGAAGAGTGGAGCAAAAGTCGCTGGAATTCTTGGCCTTTTCTTCAAAGCTATTCGACAACGACAGAGGAACGAGCTTCTTTTCTTTTTAAATCGCAACTTCTCGTGAAGAAAAACTATCGTAGTCAAAAGCCGCTGTAAAAATTGCTCTTTTTTGTTGAATTCAATAGCAACTAACGTTTTTACTTTACTGAAGTTGGAAATTTAGGAAGACTGAACAAACTTCTACAGTTGTAAAAACAAGTGCTTGTATTGGAATATCGTGATGAAATTTACGAGTTTTATAGATTTCTATTGAAAATAAAGGAAAACGCCACATACACTGTTGCAAAACTGCCAACGTCTTACCAGTCATTCCCTTCTGCGAGGCATACTTGTTCGACCCAGCCTGGATAGGAATGATACCCTCGGAGCGCATCAGCTTGTTCTTATCATGCTTCGACGGCTTACCGGCCGAATATTGCTGCTGTCTTGAAAAATTATCTACTAGTGAAATCATAATTTGAACTAATGAATATTTGATAGCAGTTTTAACTTATTGTTCACTGCCTACTCTTTTTAATGGTAGGGTATGTTGCGAAATATAACTTCACTCATGATTTCACAATGTATACCTTGCCGTTAAAAAAAGAGTAGGCAGTAAATAATAAGTTAAAATTGTGATTATAACTGCGGCCTCAGTTTAACTGGGTTAATTGCCGATTTGGGCACCCCACACCAATCCCACTGACGGCTGATTGCTGATGGCAAGTGATCGATACAACTAGCCTGAGAGACACGCAAAGCGTAGGACCCGCGTGGTGTGGTGGTGAACGCGCTACTCCCCGGAAAGGACAATAGCGCGCGTTCGTTCCCCACTGCATACACCTGCGGTTCGGTGTTCTGCAAATGTCTCAGCATCAGTGAAGTTTGATAGCGGTTTCTATATAAACACAGTTCTTGAAACAAAAAAGTGATCGTTCGTTCGATTCCATATGGTGGGCTCACCATGTCTTAAATCCCTTTGCATTTGACGAATAGGCGCCATTGTTGCCTGAGAAGAAAGTTGCACTGACTTGGTACAGGTTCTTTGGTACTCTAGGGTGCCGCAAGTCACGCTATAGGCTAGACATGTATTTACTGACCTCTAACGATGTTTGATGAAGTTGAATGCATAATGCTTCTCACACGGTTGATGAAGGCTGAGTACTTCACTTTTTACTCTATGAAGTAAACCCTTCCCAATGGTTTCTCTTCTTATTGCGGCTAAGCGAGTTCCTTGAGGTCCTGGAGTTTCCTTCGATTTACAGAAGGAGATTATCTCTCAGTAGAGTCGACAAGGTTTCATATTCCATACGGAAGTCCAGCTGAGAATGAATAAGTGGCACAATTTACAACTATCGTGGGAGAGGTTTAGTAGTAAAGTGGTTAACCTTTCTTAGATCTATAAAGGTCCCTGACTAATGCTGGCATCGACTTGGCAAACCTCTAACTTCGTGAGTTCTGAGAGAAAAGCCTGGATGAACAAATTGTCGGTCAAATGGAGATTGTGATAAGTTCAGCTTGATTTTTTTAGAGAGAAGGACCAGTCAGGCATTGAACTATTGTAATATATAAATTTTTAGCAAAAGCGGGAGTTCGGCTATTTAATTCATATCAATTTTGGCGTAATACAGTTCTCGCCGCATGGAAGAGGTCTCGATTTTAGTACATGGCTAAGTTTATTCGGGCATGGAAGACAAATTTTACTGTAGAAACTGCAAAAAGAATAGAAATAAACTAATGGATCACTATGTTGGTCACTGTCCATGGATATAGAATAAACAGCAAAAAAGTGGAATACTTGAACTGTTGCTTGCAGGAAAGTTAGTGACAGCTCACTTTCGTAACAGCGTTTGATTCACACTGAATCCCACTGTTTTACCGGGAGTCGGGCTCTTTAAAGCGGCTCCAGGTGGTCCTGTAGTACGAGGAGGCTCATTCGGCTCCTCTTTTTCTATTCCATCCTGGAATATATAAACGACAATTGATAGGTCAAACAAAGGCTGTATTAAGTTGGATTCGGTTGCATTTCCAACCCTATCATTAATAATTCTCCAAATTTTTACTTGCTATTATGTGATTATCATCCTATTGTCCTCTCTTATATTAAAAGCTCATCTCATAAAGAGCAACTGGAGAAAATCCTTTGTAACGAAATCGCTAACGCATGTGATTAGCTTTAAACTACGTTTGCGCAGTGACGAAGAAAAACATCTCGTGTGGCCAGTGGCCAAAATATTCTCTACTACTGCATTCAAGTTTCCGAGAACCACTTTATAGAAAGTCTCAAAAAATTTTTTCGTGCATCTTAAAATTAGTAAACCTGTGTAACGCAATGGTGAGAGGTGCTCTGCGATACACACGTGGTCGTTGGTTTATTTCAAGCCTCTGATTCACCGAGCCTTCCATCCCTCCGAGGTCGGTGAATTGGTGCCAGACATGTCTGGGAGAATAGTGGCACTTACCTAATACATCGGTGGGCCACCGCAACTCATTGTATAGGCCAGATACGGACTTAATCACCTCTAACGATGATTAATGAAACTGAATGGAAGGCGCATCCCTTAGGGATTGATAGACGCCAAATCCTTTATCCTTCTCTCGTAGAACTGCGAAGATAAATAACTACCTAGTTAAGAAAATTCTGACTAAGCAGTCCGGCAATTGAACTGGTTTAAGTACTTCACTATTTTTACTGATTTTCTAGCTTTTGCAATTGATTTTATTCTTGCAGAGGTCGTTAAATAGACCGGATTTGACGAATGTCATTGTAGTTACATTATTACAACAGAGTTTCACGATGGCCAAGCTAAAAGTTTAAAGTACCACAGCAGCATCGCCTCCGCCTTGCACTCTCCCTTCGCCACGAGGAAGCTTTGTGAAAAACAGTTAATAGAAATAGAGGTCGCCCTAAAAGATCTTGTGGGAAATTTTCTCAACGAGCGCGTTGAGTAAGGGAGAACTGGCTATTGATGTAGATCTTCAGTTCGGGCACATAATTTTGTATTCGAGTCCGTCAAATAAGAAACGGATATTTTGTAGCAAAAAACCCTTATCGGCTTCATGGCAATGCTTAATTACATTGTTTGCCATGGATTTCGGTGATAATGACCTCAAAAGTACATAATTCTCATTACTGATACAACCTTTTGTGTGCTCAAGACCGCTAACATCGGCCTCGGTCCTTTTCCCCTTTTTATTCGTCTTTCCTTCTATTTGAGTTCCTCATCTAAGGCATCCTAATCTATCCGCTACAATTCCAGACAGAATAAGTGAACTGATGGCAATGCATTGCTTTTCGATTGCTTCCTAGAGCTGCTTTGCATTATAACTCTCGTATTCAATCGATAGCTTTATCACCAGAAATGTTGCGTTGGAAAAGTCAGAGAAAAGCTATAATTTTTATTCTCTCAACAATCACTTTATAACTACACACTTGAAAATCTACAGAAAACCCTCTAATACGGAATTTTTTCATCGGCTCAGAGCTGTTCATTACGAGTACGTGAATCCGGCGGCGTTTAAGCGCCTTCGTTACAGAGCGCAGCTTTCTTGGAAGCACAGTTTTAAATACGCATTGATTTCAATACTGCCGGCAATTTACAAAAGGCGTTCTAGAGAAGGTGTTAATATCCACATAAAGAAAACCAAAAGTGGTTTTCTGTTGTCTGTTACTTGTTTAACTGAAAGTAAATCATACAGTTCTTTCTTTTCGTTTAGCTTATCAATAACTAACTTGAATTAAAACATAGATTTCTTAGCCATTTAGTCAGGCGGCTTCGTTTCTGTTCAGTCCTTGTAGGAATTCTTGTATTGTCAAGTCTTAAATGTATAAAAGAGCAGTTATTAGCAGTTTCTAAAACCCCAATGAGCTCGAAAACTTTGGCCGATTAACTTCACAAGAGGTGATAGATTAAGCCCTGGATGCAATCATTTCTTCGTGATAATTCCAAATTGTTCAAAATGTTTTTGGTGTAGTGAGAAAGGAATTAGAAAAGAAACAATAGATCAAATCATAAACATGGAACTTTTTAACAAATCTTAAGAACGCTAGCATATCTATAGCGGTGGATTAGAAACGTTTTTTAAACGTTGAAATTGATTTTTGGCTCTGAAGAACTAGCATTTCTGAGAAGGCCCCAAAGCATTTCAGTCACGATCAGCGTTGTCTACATAGAAAGGTGTCTATAACAAAGAGAAAGACCATAAAAAATAATGTCATCCTACCTCAGGCAGGTCATTTTCGTCCTGTTCGTCTTCTACATGCTCATCTTCAACGTCGGACATGGTTGTATGGAGCGATTTGTGAGGAATTTAGGATGTGCTGGTAGTGAGCAACGAAAGATATGTTGTAGCTGGACAGGGATAACGAGAAGGAGGGATAAGGGGCGTGACAGATCGACGAGTCCCCCAAGACAGCCGCTCGTCGCCCGATTCTCGATGAACGCCCACGCCTTCATGGTCGTACTTTCGCTAACATTTTTTGATTTACGGTAGAGTATGGCCGCATGGTGGAATGTCGGACATGAGATGAGTGAAGTTTACTAGTGTAACTCAATGAAAGGAGTCCTCTGGTGATATCCACGATCGTTTTTGAATTGAAACACTCCTCACAGGGTTGCCGGAATACAATGATATTTGCTTTAGTTCTAAGAAAAGTGAAAAAAATATCAAACTAACTTGCAGAAAGTACTTAATTGCTTTGACAAGTGTAGTACTTAAGTATTTCATAAAGAATTACAGCTATTTTGTTGTTGCCCACCTACTTTTACTCCTTTTGCTTATTCTCATATTATTTTACGATTTTTTTTTATATGTTCATATAAAGAATAGAGCTCTCGACGTTGATCAGCGGCTGAGAGATGCGTCATGCATTCGACTTCATTAAGCATCCTTTGGAGGTGATTGAAGGCAAATCCAGCCTTTATAATGAAATGACTCGCGGTGGCCTACCGATGTATCGAGCCATATCCTCTCAGACAAGTCTGGTACCAATTTGGCGACTGCGGAAGAATGGAAGACTTTGTGGGCCATGGACCCGGCAATCGATTCCACGTGTCTGTTGCAGGGCGCCTCCGACCACTGCGCCACACGCGCCCTTCAACTATGATCATACATGAATGATTTTTGGATAACGCCCATACGAAGAACTTAGTCCTATAAAATCAAAAAAAATGTTGATGCAGTTACAAAAATTTTTTTTTGTTTTCAAACAATGCAGAATCTCCTTATCAACGAGCAGTGAATGAAAAAAGAAAATTACATATAACTTTGAATATGATTGCAATGAAGGTAAGTAAAACCTTTCGGCCTAGCCAACCTATAGCAAAGAAATCACTGAACTAAATTGATTTGAAGCCATGGCAACATTATTTTCACTTTCCCTTTTAAAAATACCAAAGTGAGAGGCTTCTTAACGGCTTACTGCCTCATTGAGGCAAGGAAATGTTCCTGGGTGTCGGGCTCCGATGTACAGCAGAGAGGTTAATCACCGCAACAGAGTCTCCTAAGATGAGGAGATGTCCGGCGCTTCCATTATGAAAGCCAGTTAAAAGTGAGCCAATACCAGGAACCACCATCGTCTCGGTATCAAACTAGTCTCATGGTGCAAAATTCCCCTTGATCCCAAGGGCGGCGACTGCCAGTGGTGATGACGACATAGAAAAGACTTTGACTAAGCTGACCTCAGGACGCAAGGAAAAGGAGCAAGGAGAAACCGAAGAAAATGGCTAAACAAGAAGAACTCCGAAAAAATAGAAAATATGCTGGGGCTCGCGAAACCAGTGAAGACGAGCCATTCAAGAATCGAAGTAAGTAAATAAAATGAGAAGCATAGACCACTGTAAAGTTTTAATGTTGAAATGTTTTTGCTAAATAATAGCCGCATCATCGATCGTCCTAGAGCGAAACATTTGAAACTAATTAGTTGCAAGGTTAGGTCAAGCTACATATGGAGGTGATTATTTAGAACTGGACTAAATTCATCGATGTATTTGCTATGAGAAGTTCATAAATTCAGCGGATAGGTTCACTTTCCTTGCTGCCCAAGATCAGCTTGACAAAGCATAAACATGGGTAGGCGGCCTACTGGTACATTCTCATAAAAAACGGTGAAAACAAAGAAGCTTCCATTGAAAAATGATCTTCTAATAAATAGAGTTCACCAGGCAGTTAATACAAAAAGAACCAATGGGTAGTTTGAGGGTGGTCGCATAGACGCTCTACTACTATTGAGGGGTTTACTATAGGTGTTACAAAAGTTAGAAACCTCGAAGATCGAAAATAAAAATGAATTCGTCTTACATCTCTATAGCTTTGTTATTATTTGCTGTTATCCTAATTTACAGACGCTTGTGGCGGAGTGGTTAGAAGTGTCTCGTGGAACACATTGGATCAATCGCTGGTTCGATTCCACACCTCGCGCGGGCCAAGATTTCCATCCACTTAGTAACCTGCGAATTGGAACAAGACTTCTCTTGCAGGATAAAAACCGCTGACTTGCTACATCTGAAGGCAAACGCGAATCATTATATAGGCCAGGAATATAATCAATCATTGCTGCCATACCTGATAAAATCGAACGCATTACGTAACTCCCAAGGATTTATCAACCTCGAGCGTTCTACTCTTTTTGCCTGCATTAACCTTATTTACCATTCTCGAATCAGACAAACATATAAATTGCTAGATCACTGAATTTTTGTTAGGACTGATATGAAAACAGAAAACGATGGCCGAACCTAGTCTATGTGGTGCACGAGGACCATACGCCCACACCAACAGCGCATTAGTTGTTCACCCTTAAAATCATCTAGGTCATATTTTCGATTGCAAAAGTACTTTACTGGACTATGTTGCTCAGTTGCAATAGAATCCAATGCAAGGAAGTAATTTATGAATTTCGGAGCAAATTTAATAACTTTCACAAAGTTTGAGCTGTCTGAGTAGTAATGCTCTCTATTTTGAACCGTCAAAGGCACATTTTATAAGCTCCCTCATTATCTTTCGAATGCGGTGTCTACTTCGTGTGTTCGCCACTTCTTTGTCACAGGATTCAATTTGTGCTTTCCTTCATCCTTCCCTACTGATGGTACCATGCGGTAGAAGTTTAGATTTGATTCAATGATTTTTTACATCGTCATTGCTTGTTCATCACGTCTGCCTTCAATCTTTGCGGGGGTGCCCGTCGTAATATAACAACACATGTTCAACTTAACAACATCCGACAGGAACAGTTACGCCAAGCTCAGTATTTGTTTGCATATGTGTGTATGGGCATGTATATATGTACTGTGTGTAAATGAACGTATGGGTGTATTGTGTATATGTGAACATATGTACGTATACAATATATACATATATATCTAAATCTAAAGCTTGTGAAGCTTTTGAGCAGCGAAAAAAAGTGACCATACCTGCCGCGTAGACCAGAAGAGGCATCCTAGAAGTGTTATAGTTCTGTTATAAGAGTTGATCAAGAGCTTTAATCGTTTGTTAGCTGGCACTAATCTTTTGCAAAAGTCGGTCATTGGAACAATATTAAAACGAACAATGCCTCAAGCGACTGTTCATATGAGACTCGCACTCATTTAACACTCACTAAATTAGTTAAATAGGCGTCATATCAAAGATTAGCATTCCCTCACTCACAGTTTTCTATCGTAAAATTACACGTGCACTCCGTGTCTTCACAGTTTTTTCAATATATACTTATTTCCTAGGTGAAGCTCCCATGTCAAACTGCACCGCTTCAGTGTCTCGGAAGAAAAATTCCTATGAAAATTGAGTTGTAAAGGCAATGACGTGATTGAGGTGATTTTTGTGTCCATCTGGCATTCGATTCCAGGAAACTCTTCGTGTGACCTTTTTATAAACATTACACACTTTAAAACTTGACGACAAGTGAAGGTTTTCGATTTTAAGAATGAACGACGGAAATGACTTCTACTGAATATAGTCAAGAGTAGGTCTTCGTATTTTTGTTGAGCAAAAAGTGTAAAAAAGTCAAGAGTAGGTATTTTATCTTGATCATCAACTACAAGTTCGCTCACTTAAGTTCGTTCTATTAAGGTAAATTGATAAGTGCAAAATCTTCTTGTATCTTCATGACTACAAATCCATGTTGAGCAATCCCAAAAGCTTTCCTTCTCTACTTTCATTATATTACCCTACTATGGTTTTTAGCGTTCAAATTTGCTTATTTTGAAGTCTTCCATAGTGCGTTCATGAAAAAAAAGCAGTGAACAAAAGAGTATTTGTTCAGGAAAGTATGATGACTCTGTGACACTTATGAACACAGTTGACTTAAAAAGGAGACTGAGTCTGCCGCTTCATTAAGGAGGAATTCATCGAAATAGTTGTTGCAAACTTCTTCTCTATAACCCATTCTAGGTGATCTGATCCTGTGAAGTAAACATTTGTGAAGTGCAGCCTAAAGAAACTCCTTGTTGTTACCTGATCTAAGAGATGTGTCGCGCTTCATGCTGTCGGAACTTATTCTAAAGGGAAGAATCCGAAACGGTTTTTCCTGGAGCAGATTTTGGGCTCTGGAAAAGCGATCACGCGCTGGAAGAGGGAGAATTAGAACTTACCAACTACCATTTTCCTACCATAACAGAACCGATATTCATTAATCAAAACCGAGAGGATTATTATATTTGCTGAAATCCTAACGCTATTTCCTTAGACGTCTTCCTTATTCAGTTGATTTCTTTTTGAGCCGATTCTAGCAGTTTTTTCTGCCTCCTCCGTAACGAGTTCGCTGGAAGAGATTTTCTGCAGCTGGAACTAATCGTATTAACCGCTGTTCCGAGTATTTCACTAAGACTGAGCACCAATTTCTTTCTCTTTCTCTGTACTCCTAATTCAGATTCGATCTGAACTTTTTATTTGAAGAACTGACTCATGTTTTGAACATCTTTTAAGTCGTTGGACGAGCAATTCGTTTTCGGTTGGGTTTTCGTTAATCAACTAGTAGTTCATGGAAACAACTTTGTGTAAAACTTTTACGTCACCGCATAGTAAACAAAGTTATCTAACCCACTGTAAAACAATAGAGGAGTCAAGGAGGTGCCGTCTTCATTCCTGAGAAATGAATGCTTACCGCGTAAATTGTCTCATTGGACGATTCGCATGTTCGATGACAACTTTCCCTCTTCCTAAAAGAAATAAATTTCCTTTAAAACTTTGTTTTGCGTGCCAAAGCCGTCAAGGCGATTTCCTTTCTGATTTGGATCTTTGGTTATCTACTGATGGTGCATTGACATTCTCTAGCTTTTCTTAATCGT